TGAAAGATAGGTCTCCCCTATTTTCCCGTAGTTGGGACAAAGACTGTTTGTCTGTTTGAAGGACTTTAGTTGGCTAAATTCTAAGATTTATAACGGGCCCTCGGGCTAGCTGAACATTTACTGCGGAGACGCATCGACATCTGGCAATCATCTTACTCGAAGAATAGGGTCTGCGTGTGGCGAGCTACGGGACAGAGACCGTTGGAATGTTTACTGTCGAGTTACAACTATTTCCTTTTTAAGGAGAGCTATAGAATTATTCCATGCCTTTTGTTAGACAAGGCGTTCATCCCGTGACCGCGGCTACGTTCGGCGACTGGCTGTCGCCTCGAGCCCAAGCTCATTATCACAAATCTCGAACAAATACAATCGGATCGAAGGACGACAATTGTTTAATTACGCCTATGATAGAATCCAAATTACGGTGTTAAGGGATTTTTCTGAAGTTCCAAAGGGAAGGCTCCGATGTCCTTTAATCTCCGACACATATATTTGCAAGATCCAACAACCTCGATGTAGTACAAAATGAATGTTTGATACAAGATGACTACGAATGAGTATGACCTGAGACTCTAGTCGTGTTGTCGTGTATGATAATGGATTTTGTCGACTCACTGTATTCGACTTGTTGACTTCTTGGGGATTCTTGAGGTGCTTGATAGACTGACTTGAGTTGATGTAATGACCCACTTGAGAGGCTCGAATTGCTTGACTGACTATTCCCTCTTATGTTTTTCCGGAGGAAAGCTTGGCGTGGGTGTGCCCTTTGAAGAACGCGGATTCGTTGTTCACACTTTTCGTCAAGGAAGTGAGGGTAACCATCCGCGATGCCGATTGGTTATGACCCATGCTAATGGAAAAGGATATGAGGTAGTCTCCCACCAACGTGGATCGGAGAGTGACTTCGTTCCTGGGGAAAACCAGTCCTTTTCGATAAACATGTGTTCGGTATTCCCATTCGGTGACTACACGCTTTCTCCGTGATTTCTAAGAGCTTAATAAACTCAAGGACTTTTCCGAAACCCGAAAATAAACCGAAAATACTTCTAGACAAACAGTTTGACTGGCAAACATGTGGAAACAATGAAGCCAAAGTTGACGGTTTATGGTGGGTCCTTGAGTTTATTGAGGGCTGCTGGCTGCCAGGTAGCGTCGGCTGGAATACAGCTGTTCCATGCGACGTAACAGCGTGGGAAGCTAGTAGCGCTGTGTCGTCAGGAAATGTTGCTATTGTTATCTCTGTTGATGTTGGTAAATCGGCAGTGTAGATGGAGAACAGCAGGCGTCCGAGGACACTACCTCGGGGTATGCTAGATTCTATTGGGAACGTTGTGGAAGTGACGCCTAAGTATTTGACCATGAGTTGCCTATTGGTTAGGTAAGACTTTAAGATGGAGTAGTAGGTGTGTGGTAGGATTTTTTAAAGTTTGTATAGTAGTACTTCGTGTCATACTTTGTCGAATGCCTGTTGAATGTTTAGGAATATCGCTGAGCAATATTTTTTCTTTTCAAGGGTTTGGTTGATAATGTGTGTTATGCGATGGATTTGTTCTACTGTTGAATTTTGTTTCCGAAAACTGAATTGATGATCTGGGAGTATTTTCAAATCCCCTAGGAGTGGAAGGAGTCTATTCGTTAGCATTTTCTCGAATAGTTTTGACAGGATAGGTAAAAGACTAATTGGGCGATAGGAGCTAGTTTCATATATTGTTTTTCCGAGTTTAGGGATGAGAGTAATCAGTGAAATTTTCCAGGCCTTAGGAAAGTATTCAAGGCGAAGAGTTGCGTTAAAAATCGATGTGACGAGTGCAATCCCTTTAATGAGAAGTTCATTGATTGCTCTATTGCCTATTAGGTCATGCCCCGCTGCTTTCTTGGGGTTTGGGCGACTGATTGATTCTATAATCTCTGCAGAAGTGAAGGGTTCAATAGGAGGAGACATTTAGAAGGGAGAGTGCAGGTGTTCAGTAATGTCTGCGGCAGCTTTGGAGGAATGGGGTTTAAATACTTTAGACAAGTATTTAGCAAACAGGTTGGCTTTACCTATAGGGCTACACGCCCATCCACCTTGCGGACGGCGGATTGATGGGATTATTTGCGGGGAGCGCGTGAGTTTTCTGGAAGCCCTCCATAGTGAGTAGGTAGAGTCAGCTGTGGGGGACAAATTGGCGAGATATTTATGAAAACAGTCGTTTTTGTAATTTTTGATGATTGTGATTGGCTTTCTAGTTGCGTTGTTTAGTTTGCGTTTGTCATCCGGTGTTCTATGGGTCTACCATACTCTTCTTAGTCTACGTTTTCCTGCTATTTTTTTAAATATGTAATGGGGATATTCACGTTTGCTGATGGAAGTCTTTGTCGGTGTGGAGGAGCGGATAGCGTTTATTATGCTCGTGTTTAAGTATTTCGTGGCTGCTTCGATATCTTCATTAGTTTTTAGTGAGGTTAAGGCTGAAGTTGAGTCATTAAAGACTTCTCTAAAGAGCTGCCAGTTGGTGTGTTCTCTGAAGAGCTGCCAGTTGGTGTGTTGGTTGTGAACGGAGCCATTTGGTGTATTCTCGATGATTGTTGAATTGACTGTTGCTATCACGGGGGAATGATCAGAGGAGAGATCAGCCGAGGAATTGATTTGGACGTGTCTTGATGAGATATTTTTAGTTACGAAGAAGTCCAGAAGGTCGGGTATTTTGTTAGTGTCGGTGGGCCAGTATGTGGGTTCGTATGTGGTGAGGTAGTTGAGGTTTTTGGTTATTATGCTGTTTAAGAGGTTTTTTCCTCTTACTGTAACCAGTCTGCTGCCCCATTTGGTGTGCTTGGCGTTATAGTCTCCTCCAGCTGTGAATCTATTGCCCAGGGTGTCCGGGAAGTTATCAAAGTCTTCTTTGGCGATGGAGTGTCTGAGAGGACAGTATACTGCTGAAGTGGAGGGCAGTATACTGCTGGAGTGGTGATTGTACCATGACAGTCTTCTATTGCTACGTTTGTTGCTTGAAGGTAGTCTTTCTGGAATGATGGAAGTTCGTAGTGCTTAATACTTGTTTTGTTTTTTATTCCGGTGCCACCGTGGGCCTTTCCGCTGGGGTGTTGGGTGTGGTAGAATTTGTAACCATTTATTTTCAGGTAGTTCTTGTCGGTGAAGTGGGTTTCCGATACGAGCATTACGTCGATTTGCTGGTGTTTTAGGAAGAGTTCTAGTTCAAATTTGTGTTGCGCGAACCGCTGGCGTTCCAAAGAGCTATGCGTCTTGGTTTTATTTTTCGTCGGGGCGTATTAATTTATCCATGATGAGTGTTAGTAGCGATAGCAAATTATTTATTTGCTCTGATTGTTTTTCTATTAACTTTTCAAGTCTAGTGTCACGTCGATTCGGTATTATTTCACATTCCGCACGTAAGGTGAGAGATTCTGTTAGGGAAGTGATACATTTACACTGTACATGAGAGTGTGTGTGGAAGGGTCAGAGGGCGTCCAGGTCTTAGTGGAGACAAAAGACTGTTGCCAGATGTTAGAAGAATCTAGGATAGTCGGTTGGCGACAAGCGTGCGTGTGCGTGCAAGACGTTCTTCAGAGTGTAATATAGATGTATAGCTATTGTGTGTGAAATATAATCAATTATTTGTATTTCCAAATCCTCGAATTTCCTTAACATGGTAGCAGAGCGTGGTTACTAGTTTTGCAAGATATTTAGTGCGTGGTTACGATCTTGCGAGTTTTCAGTAAAGAAAAAAAAAAAACTTTCAGAGGAAAAAATATACTTCGAGCACGTATGAACGCTTGAGTAAGAAAAGAAAGAAAAGAAGAATCAATTAAAATGGAGAGATCGGAAATTATGATACCTATATTCGATGGTGAGGATTATGGAATGTGGAAGCAAAGAATCACGATGTTTCTCAAATATAAGGAATGCGAGGTTGTTACAACTAGAATGAAGAACGAAAGAGACGATGAAGACTGGGACAAAAAGGATTTGAAGGCGATAAATATAATTTATAGTGCAATATCGAACAGACAATTGGAGTATGTTAGGGAAGGAAAAACGGCGTATGATATAATAAAAAGGTTCGATGAAATGTACTTGAAAGAGTCGACGGTACTGCAGACGGTATGCAGAAGGAGATTGGAAAACATAAGACTGGAGAACTACAGTGATTCAGCATCCTTCTTTAACGATTTCGAAAAATTAATAAACGAATTAAAAAGTGCAGGCGCACAAGTAAGTGAGAGGGAAAAGCTGAATTACATGCTGAATACGTTACCCGAAGAATACAACTACATAGCGGACATAATAGACGCATTGAAAGAAGAGAATACGGAAGAGAAACGGTAGCGTATGTGAAAAATAAAATAGAAATAGCAGAGAAGAAA